TATCATAACTCGGTCAAAAATTAAGATATTGATCTGCGGTTTGCGCCAAAATTCTTAGTTTTTTATGCTCTTTCGAATGATGTATCACAAGATAGGGGTTGCCATTTGAAAAAAAAAGGTTGGGGGCCCCCCGCGCCCCCCTGAGGGGGGACCAAAATTTTGACCCCCCCAAAAGATGGTCCCCTTTGAGATAGGAACATTCCCAAAGTTTCATTACCCTACCTCAATTCGTTCAAAAGTTAGTAGGGGTGGGACGGACTTTTGGTACACCCTGTATAGTGGAGCATTGCGTGTTCACGCCTCATGTCATCGCGCCTTCAATTTTGCAGATGCAACACGGACATCCATCAAGCACAAACAGTTGTATCTCTGCGCCGTCATCAAAGCGTGCTCTTTCCTTTGCTTCTTTGCTCTATATTTCCATGTTGTGTTGGTTCCGTTGATTCCGTTTGTCTACTTTGTAATGGTGCTTCAAGGGCAACGTGGTCAACACAGCTGAGGAAAGGAGATGCGTAATCGGTCTTCACTTTTTAACTGTCCCCTCGAATCTTAGCGACACTGCATTGGCAGTATAGAGCGGAGCATGCGGAGTTCAAGCCACAAGCCATCGCGCCTTCTATTATGCAGATGCAACACGGACATCCATCAAGCATGCATGAATAGTTGTATCTCTGCGCCGTCATCAGCGCTCGTTCTTTCAATTGGACCGCGTTAAGCAGAAAGAAACCAAGCCTCGTCAGCTTTTGCCAAATTTAATTGATCAGTTTAATTTTTTACATGAAAACGGTTGTGTAGATTTTTGTGCAAATTTCAGTGAATTTTCTGCATAGTGTGAAACAAATTTTTAGACATTTTCAAAGGAATCCGCACAAACGTTCTCTTGTGAAAAGTTAGATTGCCTAGCTAAATTTGGCAATAGCTGATGTAGCTTGCTTCCTTTCTGCTAAACATGGTCCAATTGAAGTGTCACTTCTTTATCACTCTCATATAGATGGCTAGAGTGCGAAATAACGTACCTCCGTTTGACACGTTGCAGACTTCCTGTCATTCTTCATGTTTTCTTTGGAAAACTATTCAACATAGTTGTTTGAATTCTTCTTTGAACTTTCTTCTCTGTCAACAGAATATTCTGCGTAAATTTTAAGCTATGGAGTTGGCTAGTTTCTCGTCGAAAAAACAGGAGAAATAAGAAAAAAAAGGAAGTAGGAGCGAACATTTTGAAACATT